GCCCTGTGAGGAGGGTGCCGCTTTGGCCCGCCTTACAACGAGGAAAGAGCCGGGGAGAAGTGGAGTGGAGAGACTTGCCCGAGGTCCCACAGGTAGTAAGCACTCAGGCAGGGATGCTGCTCAGGGGCTGCACTCCCCCACCCCCCACCCCACTGGATGAATGAGTGGGCAGGCGCTGGGACAGCAGTCTGGTTGTGGCAGGAACCCTTCTTCTTCACGAACTGGCGGTGTCCAGGAAGTGGGGAGGCCTGGTCTGCAGAGGACAGGCACTTGCCCTTCTGGGAGAAAGGCAGAGGGCAGGGGGAGTTGGGTGCAGTAGAGCAGGCAGCTCACAGGTACAGAGGCGCTGTCTCCTCCCACCCTGTAAGTGGCGAGTCAGGATGCTCTCTCGTCCTTACAAAGGCCATTTCCTCTAGATAATGAGAGTGTGCTGGCTCGCCGCGGCTCTGATTGCACTGGCTTGGATTGTACCCTGTACATGATGTTCCTCCACTCCTAAAGTCTCCCTTTAAACAGGTCACGCTGGTCAGACCTGGTCTTCCCAGATCCAGGCCCATTCCAGGCTCTAACAGCCCCCACTGCTGCCCGGAGCCTGCTGGGCCCAAGGACCCTCTGTCTGCCCAGCACACCCCACTTGAAAGACAAGAGCTGAGATGTAATGAGCCCCCTCTGTATGCCATGCCCGGCCTGTGGACCTGCCCTGAGGCTTGCTGACCAGGGCCACGAGATTAAAGCGGCTCCCTTGAATCTCCTAACAAGCGGGCAGGAGAAATTCACATTTGGGGCTGCATTAGAGAGACCCGGGAGCCCCGGTGCCCATTTGCAACGTCGCCTGTGCCTCTGTCTCAGCCTGTCACCTCTTGCGAGCGAGCACCTCCACCTTGAAGTACTGGCAGGCCGGAGAGGTGACCAGGTGGCAGTGGCCCAAGCTCGGATTTACAAACGTGAGACCCAAAGGCCAGGCTTGCTCAGGAGGTGCTGCCAGGAAACAGGGTGTCAGCTTGATCCCGGCTCACAGGCTCCCCTTTCCCCCACAGTTCTGCCCAGCCACACATGTGGGAACCCAGGGAGGCTCCCCAACGGCATCCAGCAGGGCTCCACCTTCAACCTGGGTGACAAGGTCCGCTACAGCTGCAACCCGGGCTTCTTCCTGGAGGGCCACGCCGTGCTCACGTGCCACGCCGGCTTCGAGAACAGTGCCACGTGGGACTTCCCCCTGCCCTCCTGCAGAGGTAGGTGGCTGGAGAGGGGCCAATGGGAGTGGGCATCACTGGGAGGGCATGCTAGAATGTCGTTCCCAAGTGCCAGGGTACAGCCCCCTCTGGGGATGTGACAGTTTGTACCCCTGCAGACTGCCACAACACAGTCCCACAAGGGCACTGAAGTCTTTTGTTGGGCTGCTGGCTGCAAGGGAAGCCGTCTGAAAGCACACTCTGCTCCGTGGGACAAAGAGGAGCCTTTCTACTCCTGTCGAAGTCCAGTCTTGGAAACCCACAGGGGCTACAGGGTCCCTGTGCATCAGCATCGACTGGATGGCAATGAGTGTGGCTTTGGGTTTGGGAGAAGTTCGGAAGGCACCCTTGTGCTGCAATGGCTAAGCACTCCGTTGCGTCACCTAAGGGTCGGCAAATGGAAACCTTCCCAGCTGCTCTGTGGGAGGGAGAGGAGGCAGGTTGCTTCTTTAAAGGTTTTATAGCCGTGGAAACGTGACAGGGCAATTTACTCTGTCCCAGAGGGATGTTAAGAGTTGCAGTCAACTCAAGGGCATCTAACAACAACAACAACAGAAGTCCTATCTCAGGGTGCCTGCCAGGGTGATCCTGCTCCTGGCCTCCCTCCTGGCTCCTGGGGGTGGCCGCCAGAGCTGGGTGTCCCTCAGCTGTGGCAGCTGCACACCAGACACTGCCTTGACCTTCCCATGGCTGTCTTCCCTCCGGCTGCCTCCCTGGGTCTCCTGCCCCCTTTTATAAAGATGCTGTTCAGCGTGGATTTGGAGCCGCCCGGCTCCAGTGTGACCTCATGGGAACTGGTAACCTCTTTCCCAGTGGGGACCCACTCACGGGGGTCCGCATCATTTTGGAGGATGGAGCCCTTCCCATGGTGGGACTCAGGATCTCAGGTCTTTTAGGGGCGTGTTGGTGTCAACAGACCTTCTGCCTTCAGGGGTGCACTCCCTCAGACTCACACCCCTTCCTCCACCTGCATCAAGAAACATGTCGCATCACCTCCTGCCACCTCACCCCTGCCCGTCACAGATCACATCTCCTCTTTTGCTCGGATCTCGCCCCAACTGCTTTCTTCTTCCCTAAAAACACCACCTCTCCTCACCCAACAGTCTATTTCTGGAGCCTCCAAAGAGACACAAGGCCTTGATGCACAATGCCTGCACCCCCAGATACACCATCTCCCTTCCATGCTATGTCTCCTCTGCTTCACACCGGGGTAACTAACTCATCCAGTTTGTCTGGGACCTTCTCATTCTTCCCTTTGGGCACCCCACATCCTGGGAAACACCTCAGCCTCTTGGGCTACATTGGGCTAGCTGGTTGTCTCACTTCCAGCCTATTGCCTGATGGTGGTATTGTCAGGCTAATGGTGAGGTCCATGGTTCAAGCCCACCAGCTGCTCCGAAGGAGAAAGATGAGGTTGTCTACCTCAGTAAAGAGTCATATATGGCCTCTGAAACCCTAGACAGTACCACTATGAGTTGGAATAGAGTTGGTGGCACTGTGCTTGTTGGTTAATAATAAAATCCAGTTACTTTGAGGGCACTCTGACATCTGACGAAGGCATGCATGTCAGAGTAGTCTCTGCTCCATCGGGGTTCACTGGCTTCTCTTTCAGAAGTAGATCACTGGGCCTTTCTTCCAGGTCCCCTCTGGGTGGACGCAACCCGCCCAGGGACTCCATCATTCATAATATCCGAGCTTATGCCTAAAATATAATAACTAATGGCTCTTCAGTGATGATAAAAAACGAATGCACCATCTTCTTTTAAAGGCATAGAAAGCAGATATGACAAAATACCCATTTATAAACTATCGAGGGCTCATGAGGGAGGGGAGAGCAGGGAGGGAGGGGAAAAATGAGGACCTAATGTCGGGGGTTTAAGTGAAGAGAAAATGTTTTGAGAAACGATGTACAGATGCGCTTTACACAATTGATGTGTGTATGGATTGGGATAACAGTTGTATGAGCCCCTAATAAAATGTTAAAACAGAAAAAACAAAAAAACA